TCTTATATATATATATATATATATATAATATTATATATATATATATATATATATCATATTTGTTTACAAATTCATAAATTTGTGATAAAGAAAAAAAAAATTAAACTGATAAAAAATTGTGACTAAAAAAATTTAACCATCGTTGTACGATCTTTAAAATAGAGTTAACGAGCCAGCTACTTTGGGATTCTTCTCGAGGGGATTATACAATGAAATATATTTCCCTGGTATTTCGTATCGCGCAAAGCAGTCGACTTGTATCCTCGCTAAATATAAGTTTGATGCGTAGCATCGATTCATAGCATGTTAACGAACACTTTTCTTTCTTTGAAATGAAATTTTAATTTTGATATACTTACCTTTGAAACATTCTAATGATTAAAAAATTTTTAACATTCTATTTGCATTTATCTTTATTTGCATTTATTATATTCAGATATAGAAAAAATTTAAAAATAATACAAGAAATTACAAATAATACATTTACAAAATGAGACACAATTATATAGATAGTTATTAGAGAGTATATATTATATTATAAAAGAAAGGAACAAATATTTAATATAATATATTTAATAAAAATATTTGTATTTTTTGAAAATTACAATTTTTGAGCAATTAGCAATTAATGATTCTCAATGATTTGAATATTATTCCTTGTAACAAATTGATAAACTCTGCTATATTATATACTTGAAAGATTCAAAATACATACATTCATGTATACTTTGAAAGAAGACTACCTACTCTTGTATCGACCTCCGACATGGAGAACGCAAAGCTATCTCCCAGAACAAACATCGTGCTTATTTAAAGCAGTCGTTTGAGTCATGAGCACGAAGCGGTTAACGTATCCTACTTTACGATAAAAGCTCGTCGGTTTCACTTCACATGGCATCCCATTGCGTGTTGTTTGTCTCTAGTTTCATCGTGTTCATCTTCCAAAAATATTTGTTTCGATTAAAAATTGAATATATATATATATCTTTTTTTTTATAACTTTTTTATAATCAATTAAAAAACAATGTAAAAAATGATATAAAAAAATTTTTTTCAATAATTTTTAAAGAAAAATATATATATTTACAAAGAATAGATAAGTGATAATTTCTTGCAACAAGTTTCAAATGCGCAAGGATGAACGTACGATATGAGGACAGTGTAGCGAGGAATTGCTTTTACTCCAAGAATAGTTAGTCGCCACGACGTATATGTATAGAAACAAATAAAGAAATCTGAAGTAGATAAAATGTATACACCATGTTTAGTATGTCTATTTGATGAACAATGAACAAGAAAAAGAAAATTATTAATAATATTTATAAATTTTTTGACGAAATTAATTCTTTTCTTTATACGATGATATCTGAGATCTTATCGAGATTATGTCAATAATTTTCAATATATTTTGAATATTATTTTACATTTTTAAATGCTATTATAATTTTTCTTTGTTTTTCTCCAACTAAGTAAATAATGTAATATAATATATATAATATTTATAATAAATAATAAAATAATAAAACGGCGTATAGTGGTCTAATTGATCGATTTAGCTGATCAAAAATCAATTTAAAAAACTTTAAGTTAATAAATTTTTATCCAAAATAATTAAATATGTTTTATCAAATATTAAAATAATACTAAATAATATTAAGATTAACTGTTAATATATGCTAGATTTTTAAAATTCTTTGAAATAATTTTTATGCTTTATAAGTATTTTTTTTATGGACATTTTTTTAATAAATATATTTTATATTTATGTTCTAAGATTTTTGCTTTTATATTATATAGTTTTTGTAGTTTTTTGTGATTATTGATTTAAATGTGATTAATATATAACATATATTAATAATATTTTTTATTGACATAGATTATAAAATTTCATGAATGATTTTATATATATTATCTATTTCAACTATCAATATTTTTTTAAGCATTATTTCATTTTATAAAAAAATTATTTTTTATATTAAAAAGAATTAATTAATAATCAAATTAATATCGATATTGATAATGTTCAAACGATTTGAAAATACTCAATAGAAGATATGTATCAAAAGATACGTATTCTATGTATATATCAAAATTTTAAGTATTTGATATTATTTCTTGATATTGATGCCTCTTAAAGCAATCATCAAATGATATTAAATATTATATCAAATCAAAAATTATATCTTAAAAAGATTTTTATTTGATATTTCATATTCATTATTAATCGACATATTATGTCTATTTTAATTCTAATTGTCTTTGATTCCAATCTATATCTATTATTCTATTTTCTTTTATTATTATTATATTCTATTTTCTTTCTTAATCAAATCTGGTTTTAGTTGTAATATTTAAAAATAAAAGTTAAATAAAGTTATTGAATAAGTATCGGAATCTTTATAAGTATCGAATAATTTTTGATTCGATATAATATTGATTTGATATCGTTTTAAAAGTTGTCGATATTGAAAAAAATGACTTAATAATGATCTAAACATATTTTAATACATATTTTAATACATACTGATGCTGGATAGAAATTTGTATCGGTAAGACTGATATTGATCTTAATATTAGTTAACAATTAGCATTCTATAAAAACTCTTTCATTCAAACACAATTTTTTTATTATGATAGTTACATTGTTGTATCTATAATCGGTTTTAATGATTAAATAACAATAAGGCAAAAAGAATCTAATAAACGTAAATAAGAATCATTTCAGAAATATTATTTACAAATCAAACGAGAAATAGATTAAAATAATGCCGAAAATTATCGAGTTTTTTGTATAAACCTATGTAAAATTTAATAATAATAATTTAATAATAATAATTTAAAAATATACTTTTTTATTTTGTATAATTCTAATGCTATCATGTTTTACTTTTACAAAATTTGTTAATATCGTATATTTTTTTTTGAATTATATTACAAAATAGTTATTAATTTTTTTGAAATTTTTATTTTATTTCCGGGAAAATATGCCAAATATATGTGTTATAAAAGATTCAATTTGAATTATATAATAATAATAATTAAAAAAATGATATAATAAATATAATAAAAATTAATGATAAAAATAATTAATAAATTATATAATAAAAATCTTCTTTCAAAAAAAATAAAAACACTATTTTTAAATAACAACAACAAACAAAATATAGAATAATGAAATGGAACAAATTTTCATCTACTATTCTATAATTAAATATCTTCAACCTAATTGCTATCGTCATTATCATTTTTATATACTTTTCTTTTTCAAATATTATATTCTCTATTTTACATAATTTCATTTTATAATTTCTAATAAATAATTTCTAATAAGGAATTTTTACCTAATGTATTTATACAATTTCGTCAATATAGAGATTAAAAAATATTATTATTTATTATTATATTAAAATAAATATGCACATTATTAAAAGAATGTATAATCTTAATGTATTTGTTCTGTTAAATTGTTTGTAAAGTTTACTTTGAATAACGTAAAAAGAAAAGATATATTTTTTTTACTTTTTAATGCAAATAATTATAAAATTGTTCTATAATTTACACAAATATGCAAAAATCAATGATTTTATGTTCGCTCTTCTTTATTTTCGCTCTTCATTTTCTTTCGCCAAATTGATAGTATAATAATGCAATATTTAATTAATTAATTAATTTTATAAATGAATATTTTAAATTCTGTTGAATTTAACTCTATCCTATTTTATTTTTTTGAAAATTAGTATCTTTTCATACAATATACGTATTATAATAACTGCAAATAGATTGAATTCGGGAATAATCGTGTGTTTCTCTATTCTCAAATCAATTATTATTGTGTATAATAATAATAAATTATTTAGATATATACTATATAATATAATTTATTATATAAATATAAAATTTTTATATACACATAAATGATATCATATTTTCATATCGAAAAAATCAATATGGAGGTATTTTTAATTTTGGTCAGCTAAATCGGCCAATTGTGGACTACTGTGCGGTGCGTTATCTCCTACCTGTACTACTTTCGATGCATGGTCACGGTAAGTTACGCGATGCAACGATCTAAGATATGACAAGATATGATTTGTAACATATGTAAGTATGTACATATGTATGTATATTGCGAATAATAAAAATCAAGCAATCAATGCTATCAGATATTAGCAATGTTGCTTCCAAATACTAATCTAATCTTATTTTTCATTTTTAGGATACAACTTCTCCGCAATACATGATGGAAAAGCTGAGACAATTTTCAGATCCTTTAGCAAGATTTCAACCTATCAATGGTAAGTGATATTCTATCCATAAAAAAATAATTTTCTTTGAGAAACTTTGCCGAGATAGGAATTGAAGACAGGAAGCAACTATTAAGAATTGCGATGCGATCGATTTCTCTTGTTTGTTTAACGCTTCCAAAATAGTATCGGCCGTATGATACTGATATTTTTAAGTAGATTAATGCTTGACACGAGATGGAACATTAAGCAGATCGGTATTAATGAGTTTTGTCACCCTTGAATGACACTCCGTTTCTATTTGGTTACACGCACTGCTATAGATAGCCCACCCGTAAGTTTCTAACGATGTAACGTTATTCGGATATAGTCGCTTCGCGTCTTGTTCGTGGATCGCATTACTCGCAATGATCTATAAGCCACGTGCCACGCGTTTCATAGTCTATCATGAGTTGTGCATCGTTCGTCATTAATCGAACCGACTAGAAAACACATTTGCAATTAACATTCTATATTCAACTTCAATTTCTATTTTCGCTTCCGAGATTTCTTTGTTTTTCCGATTTGCGATTGTATTATCGAATTAATTGATTCATATTCTGAAATTAGATGACTGATCCTATCTTCGTTTTTATGAAAATTAATAAATCATGTGTGAATTTATGTACGATTAAATTGATTAACAAATATTGTAAATGATAGAGAAAAAAACCGATAGTATATATGTGTACGTGTAATATCATGGTAATATCAATTTTGGCATCGATGACGGCTGAGCGAATTGCTTCATGAGCCAAAAAGAGGTACGTTCGCGCAATCCAATTTCGATCGTTAAAATAACTTAGGATTAATTAGCGTTAATGAATACCTGACTATTGGCAACCGTGAAATGTAATTCAAATCGATAAAAAAAAGAGAATATTAATGAAGAGAATGTAATTTTGCACAAGACTTAATTACATATTCAACATTGAATCGTTCATGATTATATCACGCAGTTATCACAGAAATAATAACTTTGGATGGTATAGCAGAACTCAAGGAAGAAAAAATAACAACAGACAAAGAATTAAGAGAGTAAGAGAAACTGCGCCAGAAATTCGTGGCACGAGTTTCTCGTTAAATGCAACAATCTATAATTCACACGTGACACATCTGCCAAGTCTGAATGGTCCATGAGCCGAGGAAAAAGAACGCTTATAATTGCAACGACGAGAAACAAATTCCTCTTGGTAAACGAATAGCTTACAAGATGAAGATGCCAACGAATTTATCAAACCGTAACCCATTAGCGTAGATCCCGATCATTTCGATCAATGTTTCGAGATTTTGTTATACAATTATATTAAATTTATCTTATTCCGCAATTTTGTAATCGAATAATATTGTTTAATATTTTAAATATTTTTTAAAAAAAATTCTTTCAAAAAAATTTATTATTCTATTATTTTTTATCATTACTTATTCATGAGTTAATATAATTAAATATTAAACAATAATAAATAAAATATTATTACGAAGCGTAAATCATCAAAACGCATATTTATCAGTATATTTTACATTATATTTATATTTGATCTATATATATGTACATTTTTTTCATAAAAATTTACATTTACAAATTTACATTCAAAATTCGGTAAAATGATGAGAAAATCCAAGAAGTGCTATATATTGCTATGGTACATTAGTATGACGCATCGTCGCTGGACTATCCTTTTGCCAACAGACCGCCCATTTAAATACGACGGAAGTAATGTCTAAAATACTTTGCCACATTCAGAATTCTCTCATATCTCTTGAAAATTTCCTCTTACTTTTCGCTTATTTCCTTTATAAATTAGCGAATTAGTCTTTCTTTTTTTCTTATTCGTTATATTTTTTAATTTTTTTTTTATTCTTTATCTTTTATTTTTATTTTTTCAATCAATTTTCACGGAAATTTCTTTATTTCATTCAATTTGCTGTACATCTATATGTAATGTAATCGGTATAAGTATAAAGTATTTTTATCAAAAAAATCAATGTTTTTTATAAGTTTTTTCATTAATATGAGATTATATTTCGATAATACGAAAAATTTCTTCTACATGTTTTTTTTGTAATAAGATTATTGCCGTAGATAAAAATGAATCGATGTTTTTTGAAGATCAACAGTGCAATCAAATTGTTTTGATACATTTCCAACAAATGCAAAATAAAGTTTATTAATACAAAATAATCTTATACAAATTATCTAATCTTTTGTATATAAATACGTATGCACAGTGTATATATATATTTTATATGTTTATATATAAATATGTATATATAATGTATACGTAAATATTAAGCATTGCAAAACATTATTCATTTTTTTTTTCAATCTCTCATTTAATTTTCCTTTTCTTTATGAATGATTATATTTCAAAGCTTAAATCATATATACATTTGTATTGACCTATAAATACAATTGCAAAATAAATAATTCAATTATTTCTTTCGAATATCGGTCAAATAAATATATGTTTATTTTACATTTTGAAATTACAGAAATAATTTAACATGAATTTAATCAAAATCACTTATATATTTATGTATATGTATAAGATTCGAAATATAAAATCAAAGGATTTGAAAATGGATTTTATTTCCATTTTTTTTTCTTTCTTTTTTTTTTATCATTCATATATATATACGCTGTTCAATGTTTATATACTATTAATAATATACTATTTTAATTAAATCTAAAATTTCAAGTTTTCAGTTTGTTTTATATCTTCATAAATCAAAATATAATTGAATTAAAATGAATAATTTTTAATAAATTAATGATCCATTATTCATTTTTGCTAGAATTCGAAGAAATGCTGGAATCGCAATCATCTCAACTCAATGGAAGCAGCTTGGATCGCCTCAATATGATTGTTCAAAGTATCAACGGACCGATTTGTGCAACCACCGATACGCTTCGATATCCTTCGCATCAATGACACTATGTTCGAATATCAATACAGATAGAGATGTTTGAAGCATGAAAGATCGAAGAATTTTTTTTTTCTCGTTCCTTGTTGATCCATTATTGAATGCATAATCGAATGGATACAAAGTTCCTAAAATGAATTAATGAAAATATCTATTATTCTTTTTAATGTTAATACAGCAATTATTTTTTTTAAATCTAACTGATATCTCGTTATCAATTAATTAAATTAAATATGTATCTATTTACGCATAATTCGCCAATCATATTTTATTAATCGTATAAAAGAATTTTAAACAAAATAATCTTATACAAATTATCTAATCTTTTGTATATAAATACGTATGCACAGTATATATATGTATATATATTTTATATGATTATATATAAATATATATATATAATGTATACGTACAATGTATTGCGAAAAAATAAATATATACTGGCATGGTACAAAACAAAAAAAAATATGCTGATACATGTATGTATTTATTTCGCTTACTTCATTATATTCGTTTATCATTATACGATAATATTATTTGAGATATAAGACTTTTGATTAATGCTTATTGCATGCTTTTTGTTATTATTATATTAGATTTATTACAAGTAATCAGACTTGCATTCCTTTCAAAGGATTTTTTTTTTGAACAGTACATAATATGTACCTATATATATATATACAAATTTATAAGCGTAAATAATAAAATATATGAGGATACGTTAAACTTCATATTTTTTGAATTGTATTTATTAATTTTCCTTTTATTTCGTATATATAATCAATTCAACTTATTGTTAAATTTTTTTATCAATAAATTTCTATCAATGATTATTTTAATTATATTAAAAAATTATAAGCCTCAAACAATGACTATAATTTACAAAAATTAAAATTAAATATTTGAATATTAAATTCTAAAAACATAATGGAAAAAATAGATGTTACCAACTTAACTCTTCAAATTTATGTTAATTAAAATGTGAATTTTATTACAAGCCTAAATCTTAGATTTTCAATAGACATATTATATATATAGTATACATATATATATATATATATATATATATATTTGGGTCATTTTTTCTCATTTCTTTTGATTAATAAAAACCAAAATCTGTAGTTTTCTTATAGAGTCAATTAAAATGTGATTTATGAACATATTTTTGAAAATTTGCAATCAGCACGACTAAAGAAATTAATTCCGGAAACCAGAGATTACTTTTAAATAGACGAATTGGAAACTTTGTAAAATTTAGTTACCAATATACTTACTTGGATGCGATATCGGCACGTATTCAAAACATCCTGTAAAATGCATCTCTTAAGACACATGTTTCTACACATCTGTTCTCCTTCTTTGGCATTCCCTCTTATTTTCTCACTTAAAAATCAACGTTATATATTATATCATCCTATGATATTGATTTACATTGACATTCTTATATTTCCGTTGATGATTCTCTTTCAAAAAAAAATCATTACTATATTTTTTTTTCTTTCTTATATTTTTTTTATACGTCTTGTTTCATGTATCCAAATTCCAATCATATATAATTTATAATTAATTTGAAAATCACATATTATTTGATTCTCATTTTCTTCATCACTTTTCAAATTATCAACAATTCATCAATTTCGAACATGATTAAGTAAATAGATAAATATTTATCATCTCTCGATTATACTTTGATTTAAATTCTAATTAATACATAAAATTATTAATTAGAATTATCTTTACATATGAATTTATTTCTATTAAAAAATTTACGAAATATGTATATATATATATATATATTAAAATATTTTATGAATTCAAAATTGTTATTAATATTTCTTTAAATATTATAAATGAAATTGGAAATAATTTTATAAACATTAAGAATTGTTTTCATAATTCATTGCAGTTGTTTTTATTTAATGATAAATCTTTTAACAAAAAAAGAAGAGAAACATTGGGATACTGGGGTTACCCAACATAAGCCGAAAATATCCATGTCGCGGGAGTAAGAATAGTTGAGGACGACATAAATATTTTTAGAGTTACTGACCCGTCAAAACTTACTATATTTTGAGGCGAATGTGTCTTTCAAATGTCTCTTTGAATATTGCTCGTTGTTTTTAGAAATTGAAATGATCGTATTTTATGTTTAATAATCTTTTTATACAAAATATATTCTTAGATGAAATTTATATTTTGTATGAAATAAATAATGACAATATAAAAATATATAAATTTCAAATGTCAATATAAATATGATTCATTTTTATCTAATGAAATTAATAGAATGTTTTATTTAAGATTTTTAAAAAATATTAACAAGATTCTAATTTTTTACATAATAATATATTGACAATATGAAATACAAAATTTTATAAAGAAAAAAAATTGTTTTATATTTGTAATAAAGATATAAAATTTATTTCTATAGACAAAGATTTTATAAACATATATTA